ACAAGGTCCTAAATGAGAGGCAGAGAGACCCAAAGAGCATTCGGAGTTCAGATCTGTGTGATGGGGAGTTCTGGGGAGGCAAGACTTAAATAAGACAGTTTTCCTGGCCATTCTGTGTTGGCGATCCCCCAGCAAGGAGAGGGAGAGTAGGAGGAAGTGCACACAGGCAAGAAGAGGCAGGTATTAGCAAAGATGCAGAGGTGCGGAATGAGTAAGAGGGTTTGTGTCCATGACAAATTATTCTCCCTTATATTAAAGTCTCTTCTCCAATTGATGGCATCATTTCTATTTCAAATATCAGTGTGATATTTGCTTAACAGCCAAAGCACTGCAGATGAATCTATCTGAATCTTACTAAGATTCAGTTCAGAAAGGGAGGCAGGAGGTCTAAAGGGAAGCAGACAAAGGAAGGAAGGAAGGAAGGAAGGAAGGAAGAAAGGAAGGAAGGAAGGAAGGAAGGGTAGAGGGAAGGAAGACTGCCCATAGATGGGTGCTACCTCTTTTTCTTCTCAGACCTATGTTAAATTTTTTTTTCAAGAAGACAAAAAAGGGCAGAATTTCTAATAAGTGTTATGAAATGTAATATATTACCAGAAAGGAAGTAAAGCAGCCTGTAGCCCCCAGTCATCCAGGTCTAACATCAAGTGTATGTGAATAAATCAAGGACAGTATTCCTTTTACAGCCTGAACTTTATTTAGTGGTGTGATGGTTCGGTTTTCTTGTCTCTGAGTTACTCCAAAATTTAGTCTCTGTTTCATTAGTTACATATCCTCAATACCAAGGTCTTTTTCTTTCAACCAGACCTGGGCTGTCAACACCATCATATTACATTATAGTAAGGCCTGGGTGTCTCTTCTGAGTTGGCCCACCCCTAGGCAGAACAGCCTGATAGACCCCGGTTGTGGTCAGGCACATTTTGCATTCAGAACGTGGTCATGTTCCTCAGATTTCATCTTTTGTGGCTGCTTTTCATGGGAAGAACTGCTTCCCGTATTATAAATAATTCCTGACCAAAGGACAACTAACATTTACATTACCATTGATCCTCATCAAAGGTTAAAGTACTGGTAATTGTGTAAGGAGATATTTCTTTTTCTGAAGCAAATAATTGTCAATTGTGAGTTTTAAAACTAAACTGTGGTTTATTGGAAGAATGACCACTTATTAGAATGATTAGATTATTTTCTCAAACATGAAAAAGGGAAACTAAATAAGGTGATGATCCATGTGTATGGGGGTGGAGTTCTCAGGTTAAAAAAAAAATCTTTACATCTGTCCTTGTGTATTTTTAAAATATATGTATGTAGAAAGAAAACACACACACAGCATTCCCCAGCCTCAAGCCACTGAGTAGTTATGTAAAATACGAACAGGGCCTGTGTTTCACTGCATTTGAGAAAGATGTAAATGTGTAAATATGATGGAAGAGGTTTTATTTTCTTTCCCCCTCTCAGGAATGGTCTGACAGCCCCAGGCTGGAGAATGTGTCTCTCCCAAGTACTCTGTCACCCTGGTAACCATGGAGACCATGACGATCGATTAGATGCCATCTGATCTCAACCTCATAAAAAAAAAGGCAGCAGATGGCAACCAGGCCACTAGACCTGTCTCAAGAGAGACGAGGAGGAAGAGAAAGGGAAAGAAGGAGGGAGAGAGGAGAGGAGGTGGGGTGGTTGGTGCGGGGCGGAAGGGAGCACCAAAGTGGCTCTGGACGTGAACGTTGTTACAAAAGAGTAAAAACAGAAATGGCAAACAAGGAAGCAAAAATGAAGGAAAGAGGAGATGCAATGAAAAAAAAAAAGAAACTGAAACTCAACTGTGCAGTAGATCTTCGTAGTTTATAGGAAGAAAACCTAATAAAGACAGTCAGCCATGCCCTAACTTTCTCTTCTGTGTAGGTCTCAAATAGTGACAAGGAATGGTGCAGAACCTGGGCCTTGAAGCTCCTCTGAGGGACACTCACAAGGGTGTCCTTGTGGCTGTCAGTAACAATTGGAATTTGATGCATCTGCAAAATAATTCTGAGACCTGGTCCTCAGAATGAGCGTCCCTGATCAGATGACACTCTGCAGATAACTGAATGTGTCTGTCAATAACTGATGTGTTTGTCACCCTATCTACGACAATGTTCTAGTTACTCCTTAAAGGAAGAAGTGACAACCACTTACACAGATACCCAAGGACAGTTAAGTTAGTGCTGGTAACCTAGGACTCTTAGCCAGTGTCTCAGACGAATGGAACAATAAATTTATACGGTGGCAGACACTGTTAAAAATAAGAGAAAGAAAAGGAAACCTACCTCTAATCCCACTCGTCAGATTTAAGCATAAGCATGTATATAGGTGTCATATATCTACAGAGACACTATTTTAACCAAATACATCATTAAATATTAATGTCATTTGGTTGACTTGCTCTTTCTATAAGCATATGAACTCTAGAAGATATGTATAAGAATATTGATGGCAGATTCATTCATAATAGCCTAAATGTCTTTTAAAATGAAATTAATTAGAATAGTCTATTAAAAATGGAACACACCACAGCAACGAGAAGAATGGGCTACTACTGAACACAACAGTGGGACAAATCCCACAGACATTAAGAAGTCAGAAGCAAAAGAAGACACTGAGGCTCTATTCATATCAAGTTTAAGATCACAGGGTAGATACTGACTAGAATTAGAATTAGTAGGTCACGGAGTAGACATGTGTTTAGCTTTAAATGCAGGACAAATATTTTTATATGTTTTCTGGGGGGCAGGGGAAGGGCTACTTTTAAAGTGGACTCTAAAACAGTGCACCAATTTGAATTCTACGTGTCCTGTTGTGGACATGCCCTCTTCTTTCCCTCTTACCAACAGAAAGTGAGTATTCTCATTCTTCCTGATCTTTGCCAGCCTGAGAATGAAACGTTTGCCGATTGCTTACGCTGTGTCTGATGACCAACCATGTTAAACACTTTTTGCTATGCTGCCAGACACTCTTGTTTCTCCTTTTGTAAATTGCACATATATGTCATTGTCCTACTTAGCATTAGCTTTAGGGTAAGGCAAAAAAAAGTGAAACATAACCCAAATAGTCCTTGCACATTCACCGGCCTTGTAAGATAAAAACGCATAGGCATTTATGACCAGAACAAATTTACGTTCTTTGCATAAATTGATACCCTGCTCTATATATTTCAGAAGGAAGCTAACATTTACAGAACATCTATTATTAAGCACATTTACTCTTTAAAATGGCCCTAACCATTTAATTCTTACAGCTTCATTTAATTTCAGAAAAACTATTAAAATGAACTCCACTTTTTGTGTGAGGACACCTAGAAACCGCCATCTAGAAACAAGGAAGTGGGCCCTCGCTGGACCCTGAATCTATTGGCCACTTGACCTTTGACTTTCCAGGCCCCAGAACTGTGATAAATACACAGTGGCTTATACTAAATACACAGTGGCTAATACTAAGTGGCCACTTAGTTTATCGTATTTTATTACTTCAGCCCAAACAGACTGAGAGAGGCAGTGATTCTCCTTTACTTTTTACTTTCCAAACCCTAAGAGGGCTTCTGAATTCTGGAAACATTAGTTACCTTCCAACCCCCAACACAGACCCGCCATTCCACCCCCAAACCAGAGGAGTGTCAGCATCTCTGTGCTACTTAGGAAAGAATGAGAATGTGAAAAATCCATTGTAGCTCATTTCATCCATTTTAGAAATTTTATTTGTATTTTAGTGCCTGTGATGTGTGTTTCAAAATCTGAGCGATGGTTTGATCAATCCAGAGCTAGAATGAGAAAGCAGAGATAGATCCCAGATCTTTTCCTTTTAATAAATGATTACTTTTGGCATCTGAAACTCATATTTTTGGAGGCTTTTTTCAAATAAAAAGACAAAATCACTTATACAAAATTAAGTTCTGAGTATTTTGAGTGTGGAAAGAAATTACTGTAAATTATACATTTAAAAATATTTAAAAAATATATAAAAAAAATAAATTACTTAAACAAGAAAAAAAATATTTAAATACCACAAGCATCACAAAATCCAAACCAAAACAAAAAATTCTGTAATACTTTTATTACTTAATACTTTTATTACTTAATACTTTTATTACATTCCTGACAGCCCTGCATAATTTTCCCTTCACTTTTTGAGTCTATAATGGCAGATTACCTCATCATATAACAAAGATTTTCATAATATATCTTGTCAAGAAAGTACAAAAATGAATCAATCTTTCCTATAGCATGACTGATAGAATTTGGATTTTTATTCATAATTAAGAAAACCATCTGTGAGCTTCGTAGCTCATCATTGGTATCATTACACACACACAAATGTTTAGGATGACAGTCAGTTTGGAGAAACATCTACCAAATTTTTGTCATATATGAATTATAAGATTTCAGAACATTTCCAATTTGTCATTGTTGTTGTTCAGTGTCTAATCTTAAATACGCTTTGAATGATGGCACTAACTACTAACTGATTTTTGTCAAAGGGGTACATTGTGAATTATGTTTTCTTTCTTTCTTTTTCCTGTGGTGGCATTGGAGATGGAACCCAGGACCTCAAACATGGCAAGCATACAATGTACCACCAAGTTACCACCACAGCCTCTATATTATCTTTGTCACTATGAATATTGTTGCCGTATTATAAAGCAATTTCAGTATTTTTCAAATATGTTCTCAGAATGCACTCTTCTTCGTTGATTGGGTAATTAATCTAAGACTCTATTTGTTATTTATGTTAGCAACTTATCTCTCAATAATTTCCCACTTTGGGAATGATCTTTTTTTTTTTTTTTTGTTAGTTAGTTTACTTCTAGGTGTCAGAATAATTCTGTCACCTTTAAGTGCAAATCCATAAAAAATACATTTTATTTTATGCTACAGAAACACAATAGTGAACTGCTGCATCTTCATATGTATTCCCAGTTGGGGAAAACTCTGTTTTGATTAGGTGTCCATAAAAATTAAATCTCCTGGGGCTAGGGGTGTAGCTCAGTGGTAGAGTGTGTGCCTAGCATGCACAAGACCCTGGGTTCGATTCCCAGCACGAAATCAATAAATAAATTAAATAATCCTCTGTTAGAATTGATTGGAAAGAATTTTTCACAGACTAGCTTCTGGATTCATCCATTTCAAACTTTCTCTTCTACTAGAGTCTGTGAAATATTCAATTGTGATATAAGATGTAGATGGGTCACTCTGTGGAATAATACCAGGTAAGTTTCCATAGTGAGTGCATGGAATTTTGATGAAAACCATTCCTACAACAGAATGCATTGAAATCTTTACCCATACAAGTGACTAGGAATCACATAAATAAATACCACTAAACCCAAAATAATATGTCTCCAATTCCACTTGCCTAATCCAGCACCCCAAAGTGCCTGCAGCTATTCTGATACCACCTGATAGATGTTAGAGTAGAAAAAGACAGCAGTCTAGCATGTGTGAGCCACTGGGTTTGATTCTCAGCACCACATATAAATAAGTAAATAAATAAAATAAAGGTTCATCAACAACAACAACAACAACAACAAATTTGAGAAAAAAAAACTCAGATATGTGTGATTCATTTTGCTCATGCACAAATGCTTATTTTGCATATACTATGAGTTAGGCATCATTTCCTCAACCAGGAATAAAGCAATGTATAAGACACAAATATCTTTGGCCTCAGAAATTTTATATCCTGGGGCTAATGAGACAGAAAGTAAACTAGTGTTCCCTATTGAGTGGCCAGATTTTTAGTACCACATTAGTGTTCCAATGGAAATTTGCATTTAAACTTTTTCATCTCTTGTTAAATATTCCTGTGTTAACATAATTTCAAACATCAGGCATTTGGGGAACCACTTCAGATGGGGAAGAAGCCCTTTGCCCATTCCTTGGATTCTTCCACTCTTATTTATTCACTAAACTGACCCTGGCCTCTACAAATCACACTGGCCATTGTCCAGTCCTTGGACCTCCATTTGGAACTATATCATTATTCTTAAAGCTTCTAGAATAGTCTCTGGTTTCTTGTCCAGGCCTCTGGATAGCCATTTTAAACTGGTTGCATCTACTTCACTCTTTTCAAAAAGTCCTAGGCTGAGTACGGCCACAGTCGTACCTGTTCCTAACATGTTAATTTACCTGATCATTTTCAAACTATCCTGGATGGTGACAATGCCTTGCTCCAAGTTCAGTGCTGAACTGTTTCACAGTTTGGTCATTTACACTGAAGAAGTGCTAAGTCATATCAAAATACAGTTTCTCACCTTTTCATAGCCCCCAGTAGTTCATGCTACATTTGTTCTTCATATAGACATTTTTTTCATCTTCATTATTAGTTCTATTTAGAAGTTCTCAGTTATTGAGAACTTCTATTTAAGAATCTGTTATGTGCAAGTAACAGGCACTGAAACTGGCCTAAGATCAGATCACGTATGGCTCATAAAACTGAAGTCCAGAGGAATGTCAAGCTTCAAGGATGGTGGGGTTGGGGAATTAGACCCCCAACTACTTCAGTTCTCCTCACTCTCTCCTCTTCCTACTTACAGCTTTATCCTCGGCCCAGTAGTAGGACAGCTGTAGCAGTTGACCTCACAGCCAGGAACAGCAAAGTCCAGAGAGACTCTTCCTGTGGCATCTCTGAGAAACCAGAAACTTTTTCCCAGCACCTCGTTTGCCTGAGCTATCACATGATCATTTCGGAACCAACCACCAGTGTGGGCTGAGATGACTGAAGCAGTCCCCTCTAGGGCAGAGACAGGTGGGGGGCAGGGTTTGGGGAGGGTTCCCCACAGGCACAGGAGCTTCCTTGGGGAGGAATGCCAGACGTAATCAGAGTCTGTATAAGAAGGAGAAGTGGGAACAGATGTAGGAGATGCAAATGAAAATAACCTCCTTCTATTTCAGAAGTCATTCTGGTTGCCTTAATGATGTTTTAGTAATTTCTGAACTTACTTCTCCATGTTCCAAGTAATACGCGACCAGGGTCATACTTGCCGACTAATGACCATTAAAAAAAAAATTTAAATTATGTTCAGTATCTTCTGTCTCAGAAAACAAGGCTTGATTTACAGGACTAAAATAAATAATTTTTTAAGCTAAAGGAGTTAAAGTTTAGTTATTAAAAATAGCCCCCAGACCTTAGCTGCTAGAAAAGATTAGAGGGATTTTGCAAAGTATGCTTTTGGAGAAAGAAAACTTTCCCAATTCTACCAAAAGCTTACATGATACGGGCTTTGGTTGTTTGCTGTGTTCATTTTTTGCAGTGCTGGGGATCCAACCCAGGACTTTGCATGGACTAGACAACTCTACCACTGAGCTCCTCTATCCTCAGCGGAGGGTCGTTGGTAACCTGAGCCTTGGGGTGTCCCAAGCTGCTGGGGAGCTCTCCCAGAGTCTCTCATTCTCTGCTTTCTACCTTCAGGAACATTTTCTTTCTTGATTTGAACTTCGGGTGGCTCCCACACATTAAAGGAGATTTGACTTTCTCCTTCTTGAGGTAAGGCCGAAACAGGGTGTAAAGAAACCCTTAACTTTGTAAAAATGGCCCCTTTTTTTTTCTTTCTCCAGAGTATTATGAAAATTAGTGTTCTCAAAACATTTTCCAAAACGATCCCTTGAGATGCCAAGAAAAACGGTCTGCTCTGGCAGGTTTTCAGCAAGAGTTTTTCCCTGGAGAGAAGGAGGAAAGAAAAGTCAAGCACAGATTTCTAGTATTTTTCAGAATTTTTGGAATTAAAAAACATATGCACATCTAGAAGTTATGTTGGCTAGTTCATGAATTGCACTTGCCTTAACTCTCCCAGAGTGGCTGGTTATATTGACTTACGCAGAGTGCCTCCCTGGGAAAGGTTAGCACATCAGAGTTTGTTAAAAGTGACAAAAGTGATAAACTAGGTTTGCATTTATTCTATCATTACTGAGGATACTTTTTAACATCGTTCTGATGTGCTAATAGTCCTTCCTGAGGAAATTTATGCAAACAAACAAACTATTAATTAAATCAAGAGCAGCAGTCCCCACAGAGATCCACTATGCAGATTTGCTGATCTGGATGGACTTGAGCCAGGCAGTGGCCTTTGGCTGCAAGGGAGGCTATCAGGGGCTGCTTTGTGCACACCTGTATACCTTCCAATACAGAGAACACAGGCACGGTGTCCACTCACCCTGTGGAGTCTCAAAGGCCTCTCCATCTTGATGCAGAGGCCAGGGGAGGGACCCTGAATGCATTTTTCTAACTCATCTGCTGGATCTACATGACTAACTCAGGAAGGCAATGTAGAGTTTTCCAAAGACCTTATGAATTCCTTTATTTTTTATTTTTTTTATATTTATTTTTATGTGGTGCTGAGGCAAGCACTCTGCCACTGAGCCACAATTCCAACCCCAAGACCTTACGAACTCCTCATTTGTTGTAAGAGTCCTTCCTTGTACGGTGTAGAACTTTCTAGCGAGGTAGAAAGGTTTTTATTGCATTGAAAGACCAACCACCCAAAGATTCCTGGAACATGTCACAACTTCAGTCTTGGTTAGCTGAGTGCATTTCACCCGGGGACCCCTTGTGATCATATGAGTACCATTTATAAGCATGGTGTGATCATTGATGTTAATTAATGTTAATTCTGGACCAAGTTGGGCCTGACAATATGTGTGCTGATGCTCGGGTCATGTGGCGAGGGACCAACGATTCCTTGGTCTCAGGTGTGCTCCAGTTTTCTCCTCAGTCCAAATCAGCCCTGGCTCTCCTGACGCTTTATTGCCCTGGCAGTTTCCATCTCGCTGGCTGCCTGATCTTCCCGTTGGGTGACTTTCAGCAGCACAGCTGCTGACAGACATGGTGTTGCCATTCCTCCCCCCCATCCCCCGCCCTTAGCTCTAGGTCCCCCACCCCCACCCCCAGAGTGATCCTGCTTCTTTTTTTTTCCTTTTAATTGTTCAGATCAGTCTTTTCCTCCCTTTCACCCCTAGAACCTCATTGAGTGTCTCATGTGAACTTTGTGAAATGTTTCCCATGCAAAACTTGGCTGTCAAGTCCCGGGCATGACCCCTGTGCAAAGTTCTATATCTCTGTTTCTTGTTATTCCATCCCCACCATGATCCAGCCAAACAAGTAGATGCCAATGGGCTCCTTCCTATTTCTATAGGAGCAGGATGATAAAAATGCCATGGGAACTGTTATAGTTTGGATCCTGCATGTCCTCCAAGTGCCCATTAGTTAAACGCTCGGTCACCAGGTCGTGGTGCTATGGGAAGGTGGTGAAACCTTTCACTGGGAGGTGGGGCCTAGTGGAAGGAGGGTAAGTCATTGTGGGATGTGCTTTTGAAGGGAACACTGGCCCCTTCCTGTCTCTCTATTCTTGGCCATGTGAAGTGAACAGGCCTCGTCTGCCACACACTCCCACCATGAAGTACTGTGCTATGATGGGCCCAAAGCAACAGGACCAAGTAACCATGTCCTGAAATTTCTGAAATAGACCTCTTCTCCTTTTAGGTTGTTTATCTCTAGTGTTTTGTCACAGTGATGTAAAGCTGACTTACAGAGATTTTCCCAGCTATCTTATTAGCTCCGGGAAGCTTAAGATGCCACCACAGGAGATATAGCACTTGGACCCACTTTAGGTATGTTCTCTAGTTGCAATGAATCTTTTCAAGAAGGCTCATTTTAGAGTATGAGTCACCAGGCCTTCTAAGTTGAAGTCCTATAGAGATAAGGGATGTTAGGAGAGTGCTATGGTTTAAGTTATGAAGCAATGCTAGAATGGGAATCAGATTGGGGGAGGTGGAAGGCACAGGAGGGCAGGATATGCTCTCCATGACAAGCCTCATCTACTTCCTACCTTTGCTGAGGGCCAGATCACTGTTGAAATGTTGGTATTCAGGATTGAGACTCAGGCAGGGGCGACTCACTCAGGGCCCGGACTGACCTCAAGAAACAGGGCCTAGATAATTATTTTGCAGAAACTAAGATAAGATGCTTAGTTTCTGCAAAATAATCTCTTACCCCAGCATAAAAAAATATATATATCTGGGCTCTGTGATTTGGGGGTCTTGTTTTACTTCGA